GGAACTATAAGGAATTAGAAGTAAAATATGAGGGGGTGAATAAGCAAAGGCCACAAAGCACAATGCTAATCTGATCTCACCTGGTGTAATCTAATTGGTTTGCTGGGGAAAACATTATCCAGACTTGTTCATGGTAAAGGTTTTACACATTTATTCTAAGAGCATTTGGGGGCATCACAAGTGAACCAGACACAAGCTTAGTGTCCACCTATGGTGTGTCCTAACTGTTTTGTTTTAAAAGCTTTATAAAGAGTCAATTAATATTTAACCTTTCATATTCCCGATGTTTGCACTTGATGAAGGTGGTTTCAGTTAGTATGGACTTCTCACTTCTTTGAACTACCTTCAAACTACCCTCAAATTACTATATTCCCCTGGAGATCTCAATGCTTTATTGCCTTTTTACCTTTTTTTGGGTGCTATCTGTTTAAGTTGTCCTGTTGCTTTTGCCTGCTCAGTGTGTTTTATAAATGTTTTTGTTTCTTTCTTTCAGGTAAAACTTCTGAAAACTAGAGTTTAATTTTAATGACACTGCCTCAGAGTATAAAAATGTAATATTTACAGCTTAAAATTAGATTTTTTGTTTTGTCTTGTCTTTTAGGCACGTTTAATAATATAATTCAGAAGTAAAACTATTTTTTCTGGTATTTTTGAAATCTCACTTTGGCATGAGGATAAGGAAACTAAAGTGTGTCTTATCCAGAGAGCTCAAGATTTTGCTTGAATGTTACTGTTGACTAAATCTGGGGGTGTTTTTTCCAGGTGAAAATAACAATAATAACTTTTTTAAGGCTTAGAGCTTGGGAAGTGAATGAAGAATGTTTTCTTCTTCTTTTTATAGACCTCCTTCTATATATGTAAATACATATTAAGATGGGTGAAAGAAAGATAAAGTTAAATTGCATGTCTGTTTGATCTGTGTAGCAAATGAATGAAAATGACCTTATTTTAATCATCATGTACATTAGCCATAATCCTCTGCACAATTCTACTTAGCTACCCCGTAATTCGTAGTAGCATGAATAATAATAACACGATATTGGATGTGGCTTATTTGAATGAATTTCAGAATTAAACATTTCATCAGCTACACCAGCATCTACTGAACTGCATTCTGAGTAGGACAAACTGGAGATTTAAGTTAATTTTTTAAGGATTGACTGACCTTGTACGGATGAAGAGGAAAGGTGACCAATCAAAGTTGGCTGGGATCAACATTTCTAGCACAGAAATAATGTTGAGGCATCAACCAATCATAAGTCCCTGTGTTTACACAGTGTAACACTGCGCATCATTGCACAGTGGCAACAGTGTCACTGGTGACACTTTGTCTTTACTGTATGTCACTTTTTCTATTGAGCTTTCATCCTGGCGGCTCTTTGATGCTCAAAGCGAGCATGTCAACATGCTTATGTTACATCATCTCTAATTTATATAGATAGCTATAAGATTATATCCCATTATATTTATCATCCACTTTCGAGTGTTAGCACACCAAGAGGAGTCAATTACCTCTAATTACATAGTGATGTGAATGCCATTTTTATGCCATAAAACTGTGATGCTGCTAATAATTATACATGGCTGAAGTTATTACAATTTTTCTAGAGGCAATATGCAAATTCTGTGTGAATGCAATGTAGTGCTTTTCTAGTCTTACTCTCTACTCAAATTGTTTTAGATCACAAGTCTAGACGCTATACACTAGGACTTTATCCACCTCACATCCATTACCTAACAGGAGTCACTGTTTACCCTTTCCGTGTCTTTGGACTGTAGGAGGAAACCCATATAAACAACTAGAAACAGGTAGAAAATGCTGACTACACACAGAGAGGACAATTGAAACTGGAAGCTCATTGCTATGAGGTCAAAGTGCTAACCACTGCACCACCGTTACAATGCCCAGAAGTCTGCAATACTTTGTCTAATCTAAAGATAACATGGACGTGAAGGTTAAACCAAAGCAAAAGCCAGGCTATCACTAAAGTATTTAGCATTCATCACATGTGGACCATAAATGTTTGTGCAAGATTTCATGGAAATCCATCCACGAAATACGTATTAAGATCGGTCTAAGAAAGATAAGGTTGAATTGCATGTCTGTTTGATCTGTGTTGCAACTGAATCAAAATAACCTTATTTTAATCATCATGTGCATGTACATTAGCCATAATCCTCCTTATTTAAAGGTTAAAGTTTGTACAAGTTCAAGTACAAATGTATTAAAGCATCGAACTGATGACCCTGTGAAGAACATTTTACTGATTTATGCTTTTAGTTTGCTTCAAAGTTTGCTTCAGCATTCTCACCATGATCTCCAATTCATAAAATAGCAAGGATGAACTTTTCACTTTTAGTGCTTTGCTTTTTGAAATATTTATCTTAACGTGGGGAGCTGCAAACGTAGAAAGTGAGTGTGTGTATCTGCTTCAATAAAAAAATAAGAAACTTAGAAACTTGAGAACAGAGCTCAAAAGCTTTCAAACATCCTGAAGAATAAAGGATGCTCGTAACAACCGGCTTGTTGTCTAGAAACATAGATCAGTGTAAGACAGTGAAGAGCGAGAGAAGCAGCCTGGATAGACTGAGACTGACAGAACTCAACGAGAACCCCCAACACAGTGTCACAAACCAGATGACCAGATCATCAACAGCCCTGCTGACTACCACTGCCAGCATGGCATTATATTGCTGCTTTCCTCTCATCACTGTACCCTGCACCAGCATCTCATCTCCCTACTGCTGCTTCAGTTATGAATATCTCAGACATGATATATTCGTGAAACTATATGAATGTAACCACAGAGCTGTGCAGTAACCAACTTTGTAAATAAAAATCTCTCAGCCCAGGTTTTAAATAAGAGTCATAAAGAAACAGAGGCCCTCATCTTCTCAAGAAAATGTAAGGAACCACAGTCTATTCTCAATGATGGCTTTTTATTATTACAAAGCCTGTTTTGCATCTGCTATTTTCCCCCCTAAAGTTTAGTATATCATATAAATGCATGAGGTGGGAGAAAAACACCTTCTTAGGCTGGAAAAGCTATTTTGCATCAAGTAGATATACTCTTTTAGCAAAGTCTGAGCCACAGTCTTACAGCCAACACAATACATATCTATTCCAGCATGATTTTTTATACATATTTTAAGTGTGTGAGTCCCAGCTCTCAAGTATGATACCTGAACCAAAAGAACAGAAGTAGACAGTATGGACCAATACTAAGCTTCTCTTTATATATAAAAATAATTTGCATTATTATTTGTCCTGATGGCATTTAGGTATGGAGACATACTGGTGATACTGGTTAGTACTCATAAACAAATTCTCTGATGTTATGTAAAATGAGTGTTTCAAAAAACTGTTTCTCTTTCTTTTTTTTTTCTTTTTTTTCAAAAAAAATCTGTTTCTCTTAAAACACTGTTTCAAGTCAAATTAAATGGGTATTTTCTCATTGAAATCGCTCTTGCTCAAGAGCTATTTTCTATTAAATCTCCCATTTTACTTTTCTAGTAAAGTGGGAATTTGTTATTTGAACATACAGTTATGTGAAAAAGAAAGTTTTCACAGGAGTTTTATGCATTATTGTGAAAAAGTAAATGCACCCTTGCTCTTTCCATAGTAATTAAAAGTCGCATCAAGTTGCAACCAGGTTCTGTTAATTAAATGCATTTGATTATTTGATCATCAGCAAGTGTGAGCACCTTTTGTTCGTTGGTCTGGAGCATGGAGTGTGTTAAAACAACACCACAATGTTCCCAGGAGTGGACATGCCAGCAATTCTAGCCCAAAGTCAGACTGTGTAGTGTTCTAAATCCAAGAGCTACAGCTCAGATGCTACAGGCATCAGTTAGCATGTTAAACATTAAAGATCATGACAAAAATATTAGAAAAAGACTGAATGGCTTGCTTAGGAGGGTTTCCATGTGAAAGCTTCTTCTTTCTAACAAGAGGATTGTAGGTTTGCAAAGTTACATCTGAACAACCCACAAAAGAATGACCTTTGGACAGACCAGACCAAAGCAGAGATGCTTAGCCGTAATGCATAGCACCATAATTACATATTACACAAACACCCAGCACCAAGTGCCACGCACCAGGTAAAGGGTTGATCATTTGGGTGTGTTTTTGCAGCTGCAGGACCCAGGTACTCTGCAGCCATTGAGTTGACCAGGAACTTCTTTTTATGTCAAAGTATTCTAGTGTCAAATGTGAAGCCATCTGTCCAACAGCTAAAGCTTAGCCCAAATTGGGTCATGCTACAGGACAATGATTCCAAGCACAGTATTTACACAAAAATGGCTGCAAAGGAGAACTGAGGTGCTGCAATGTCCCAATGCTCAATAATGTTGTAAAGAACAGTGGATCAAAATTCCCCCACAATGATGATATAGACAATGATTACTTAAAGCTGTTGTTGCTATGAGTGATTCTAAATCATCGGGTGTACTTAGATTCTCACAGGACTTCACGGAGTCCAGTAAAAACTTTCTTTTTCACTCATAATCCTCCATCCACTATATCCACAGATCTCTAGCTGAATCACATGTGTACAGATTCACTGCACTGTACCTGAAATATTTAGATATTCAACATGGACAGATTTCTCCATTTACTGTTAAAGCTTCACTCTCTCTCTCATCAGTTCAGTCGTGCATCTGCACTGCTTTCCTCAGCTTTTTATTTTTATTTAATTTCGCGTTTTTCCTTTCAACAAGTGCGCTGTGCACCACAACTGCATTTCCATATATATATCCTACTGAACAATCATTCCCCCATCATTACTAAACTGATAAACCATTACCTCTTCAGCATTCGGATAATGATCTCACACCTGAAACCCCCTGTCCCACAATGGCCTCATTAGCCATTTAAGACATTATCTGCGTGAAGGTTGTGTAAATGAAAAATGTGGTCGCTTTTCACAAGGCATTCAGCACAGGCAGATAGATAGAAGTGCAGTCACATGGTTGGAGCGCCTCCCCTGCAGCTTGCTGGAACTGAAATATTTGAATATTTCCCCCTGTCTCAAAACTTTTTTTTCCTCGGCACTGCCCTCAGTCGGAGCGCTGTGTGTGATGTCGCTGAACGCGTGGTTGCAGTGCCGCGGTCGGAGCGCTCTCTCTGCGGTTCCACAGCAATAAAAAAAGAAAGAAAAACGCGTGAGGTGAACAAAAGGACAGGAGCTCCATGATAAAGGACTGTATCTTGGAGAAAAGTGGCTGGCCGGAGCCCGTCAGCATGCGGGTCCTGTTGAGCGTCCTGTACCCGGTCCTTTCCCTCACCATCTTCGGATTGTATCCCTCTATGGTGAGTTTGATTTTTTGACACTTGTTCCGTTACAGAGCGAGGACGTCGTTTTCCGCGCACTAGCCTGCTAAGGGGTGAGGATGCACAACCTGTAGTTTCTCCACAGTAACCCTCGCACTGATAGATGCCACAGTTTGTTCTACGATGGTATGCCCAACTTCGCTCTAAAGTCGCAGTGCTTTAACCGGGATTTAATGAGGTTCACGAATGTGCAGGAAGTACAGCACGTCGGTTTGGGTTTGGTGCGCATAGCTGCCCTTATTTCCATGAAAACTTTGAATAAATATAATGCCTGGAGCCATTCTCTAAAATGTAAACTGAAGCCGTCCCACATTTTTTCTAAATGCAGTGCTAGTTAGTAGAAAATGCGTATGGCTTATTACCAAATACACCGTGCGTTCTTTTCTTTCTTTTTTTAAATTCACCTGGGTCTGTTTTCCCAATAAGCCAAAAAACGGCCACGTAGTTAATTTGTTCAATTTCTTTATGAAAATAAAAGGAAATCATTCTTTTGTGAATAATACATTTTGGTTCGTCACCCATCTTGGCCACTTGTGGATGTCATTTCGTTTGAAAGCTGAACAGGTTGTAATGCAGTTGTGAGAGAAGGTGCACAGCATTTCACCGTAAGCTGTGGGCTGTTTCCTGTCTAATAGATGTGAAGCTTCAGCCCTGAGCCACCATCCGTGCCCTATATGGTGAATACTTCAGCAGCAAAATCCTCCACAAAGGAGCGTCTCGCTCTTTTGTCAGTGACGCTGTTTCTGTCAGGATTTGTTGGTTTGTCTTTGCGTTTAACCTTCAGAAAATTGGAGGAAAGTAGAATTTCAAGTGTAGTTTTTTTGCTCAAAAATTCAAGTCTGAAGCTCAGTTTATCGAGCTCAAGGTTTTCTGTGGAGCTGTCCACTCTGTGGTGCTGACAGTGTTGTTCTTCCCAACTGGAAAACCAGAAAATCGACTTCATCCAACATTTGTATGCAGTTTCCAAAAGCGCAATAAGAACACTCTATGCTTTATTCATAGGGGTGAGTTCCTTGATCCTTTACTAGTCTTGGAACAATTAGGTGATTAATCAATTAGCGCACAGACAAAAAATGAATAGGTGGCAGTTTTTTTAATGAGTTCATTCTTTATGTCATCAAGATGACAATGTCTCCTGCATATACGTCCTCAAAATACTGCCTCCTTTTTCTCCTTCACATGATTTCATGATTCCTCTGTTCTTCATCTCTAACTTTTATCTGTATACTTTATAAGTTAATCAGTTGATTAGCTCATTCCTGCTATATACTGCATATGTTTTCATTATTTCATCTGTAAATCTGCTCGTTGGTATTCTCTCTATATTTTAGACGTTTTTTCTGCAAAGGCAGTTGTGGTTTCCTCTGACTATCATTCAGTTCGCTCTCTATCTTTTATCTCTTTGTGATTAAATCGATGAATACACCGTTGCCATTGAGGAATGTGAGATATTGTGCTTGATCAAGAGCTGCATGCAAATTGCTTGCATGGCCCCAAAGGCCTTTCAGCTTCAGTGTTTAAAAATGATCTGGAAAGGGAAACCTTTTATGGTATTACACTAAGCTGGAAATTATTAAGCTGTCACTCACATGCTTTCAGACCTTATACATAATGCTTTCTTCAGTGTAGTAAGTGGTGGCAGCTGTTACTTCTTGGCATTTAAGTTTGTTTGTTCATTCTGCCTTCATTACCCCTCAAATGTTCAGTTGGGCAACTTGAAAATAACCTTTTACAAACCAGACCTTGGACAAAGAGGCTAGAACTAAGGCTAATGGTATGAATTTTCCTTTGTTGCGGAGTGGCACAATCTGGTTTGGCAGATATTACCTCTGCAGTGTAGACAATGGATCCCTAAAGAGCTTTTGTGAGAAAATGAAATATTTGCATAGTGTAGTTTTCCCTTATGGTCTGTGCCAGCCGGGTAATTACACAGTGGCTGCTAACGGCACAGTGTTACTCTCATTATGATCAAAATGATGACTGGGATTTGTGTTTTATGATTACACGTGATAGTCTGCACCCAGAGGACGTATCGATTGAAGAAGAACGAGAGACGTAATTGACCTGAAGAGTCTGACATCAGTCCTGATGCCAAAAATGCAACTGCCCACTTCAAATTCAACACTCATATCTTTCCTCATAGTCCAAGCTAATAGCAGCAATTTTGTCTATAAATAATCACACAGTGCTTTTATGTAAGGTGTTACGTGTTAACATGTTTTAGTGAGTGCTTAACACGATAGGCTTTTTTTTTTTCACGGCGAGGCTTAAAGTAATCAATGACTGACATGTCTTTTGCGACAAAAGGGGCAATGCTGTTTCCTGTGGAAATTTTTTTCTTGGTGAGACAAAAACAGCAAATCCCTGTCAGTTTCCTTAGAATAATTAATTCTTCTTTGGATATAAATGACAAATGATGTGCACGACTGCACAAAACATAACTGGTGTGAATAATGTGAATTTTTCTGGGGATTTTGTTACAACACTAGTGGGATGGAGCTTTGTGTAGGCACTTGCCCTCTCTGGTAGCCATTGTGAGTAGGTGGCAGGCAGGAGTACACAACCTGCAGGAACGCACGCACACAACACACACACACACACACACAAACACACACACACACACACACCACACACACACACACACACACACACACACACAGAGTCCAAATAGTCCCTTTTATTAATATAAATGCCAGGTTTGTCAGTTTACAGAGATGCTGTTTTCAGCTTCAGTTTTGGCTGAAATGTTTCAGGTCACTTAATCAGGTTTTGATCACATATGAATAATATGAAATGAAAAATGATCATGGGTGCATGGGAGAGCATACTGTGACTGATCCAACACTGATCATTAATCATCTTAAACACAGAAAGGCATTTATGTAGCTATTGTTTTGCGGGGCTGAAGGAGGCTATCTGTCAGGAACTGATGTTGTCTCTTGCTTGTTTGAAATCAGTTTTTCAGCTTGGATTAGCATTTATATGGATGATACACTCCGGGAAATTTGTTGAGCACAGATGCCATATCAAAAGATGAGAGGTGCCATAGGCACACACCTACTCATATCCACACAGTGGTTAAACAATGGAGGTTTTACACTTCACATGACTATTTCCACCAGGAGCTAAATTAAAAATGACATCTTCTAACTATGTGTCAACATAAACCAACCAAACTGTTAGCCACAAGTCGGCACGCAAAGTCATTAGTCTGATGCTGCTTGTTTCACGATGGAAGCAGGAAGGAGGTTGTCAGGGCTCTTGGACTGGAAATAAAGAAAGCAAGTCACCGATGATGGATGGGGACAGTTTGTGCAAACAGCAGGATAAATATGAGGCACTTTTTGGACTAAGAGATGTTAGACCTTTTGAGCCACTGAGAGGTTGTAATGACTTTGCTGTCAGCTTTTTTAAAAAAAATAAATAGTTTTGTACCTGTCTGTTGAGAAGTATGTGGCAGGCTGACGGAAGAATTCAGTTGACCTTGTGTTTGTAGCGGTTGAATTCATCCTTTTGTTTAGCAGCACGGTGTCTAAACACAGACAACTATAGACACCCACAAACAAGCCCTGAAGAAGTTTTTACTTTTGCACCTTTGCTTCTCCCTTTTCTGGCGACTGGCCATCATATTCACTCAAAAACAGATACTTACCAAGAGATCGCAGTTATGTGGGCAATTATCAATCGCTTAAAGTTTCCATCTTTTTTTTATATAGGTGATGATTATAACTCTTGAAGTGACATTTCCTCGTTTTATTTTACTTGTAGTTTTTTTCCCCTCTCATCTGAGTGACTGCAGCTTAGTTAATAATAAGTCTAAGCATAATTACAGGAGTTGAAACATGATGTTGAAACTACCAGGGGCATAGTTACAGCCCTCTCCCTGTTCCCCTTTTGATTACTGTAATTACAGCCCAAGCGGTCTGTATATCAGCTGCATATTACTGGATAAGAGCTGAAAGGCTTAACATGAGAGGAGTGGAAGACATTTTTGGCCTGGAAAAATGGATCTTATACTTTCAGAGGTATTTAGAGCCAGATAAAGACAATAATTCCTGATGTCTTACTTAGATGCTGACAAACTGGAACAGAGTTGAGTTTTTAGACTGATGTCAATAATTTAAATAGTCATTAGAGTCAAAGTAAACATGCATCAGAATGCATGAATTTCTTTCTAAGCGGTGTTTACCAGATGTGTTTCTAAAATGGGCCAATAATAGGATTGTTCTTAGTAGAGATAGGCATGTCTCCAAAAAGAACATGGCAGCACGGCTTAGGTTTGAAAGGTTGCCTCTGAACAAACCACAAGATATTTCAAAAGACATTTGGAACAACATCCTTGGGCAGAAAAGAGCAAAGTGGAGATGTTTTAATGTGCACCACCTCATACCAGCTGTCAAGCACCGTGGTGGAGGGGTAATGATTTGATGAGAATCTGGGCATATTGCAGTCGGTGACTAAGCCTTGAACTCCTCTGTATACCAGAATACCAATGCTACAGCCAACTGTGAGGCCATCTGTGACAGTTAAGGCGTGATCTAGAGTGGGTCTTGGAGGAAGATAGTGATCCCAAGCACAGCAGCAAAACTCCAACAGCATGGCTGAAAAAGAGAAGAATCAAAGTGTTGCAATGACCCAGTCAAAGTCCAGACCTCAACCAAACTGAAATGCTATGGTGGGACCTTGTGAGAGTTATGTGCAAACAAAAGCCCTTAAACCTCAATGAACTCAAGCATCCAGCCATTCGCTTCCGTTTATCCTTTTCAGGATCGCAGGGGATGCTGGAGCCTATCCCAGCTGTCATAGGGCAAGAGGCGGGGTACACCCTGGACAGGTCGCCAGTCTGTCGCAGGGCCAACACACAGAGACAGACAACCATTCACTCTCACATTCACTTCCACTTTCACACCTATGGGCAATTTAGGTTGATCAATTAACCTAACCCCACTAATTGCATGTCTTTGGACTGTGGGAGGAAG